ACGTGAAATTAAAATTTCCTAAGCTAATGCAAACAAAGATAAAACAAATCAAAGGATACAATGGGTTGCCTTCCACCCAGCGCTAGTTTATAGTCGATAGCTCGACTTTTCCACTTTTGCTTCAATTGGGCATTCCGAGTAGAACGGTGAATTTTTGCTTGGAGAAATTCCCACCCCAGTAGTGTTTTAGTCTTTGCCCATTAACTGTGAATGTACCCTTAGTTTCATGACTGACTTCAATGGCCCCATATGGTAGGACCTTCGTGACAGTGTAGGGACCCGACCATCTTGACTTTAATTTCCCTGGGAAAAGCTTGAGCCTCGAGTTATTTAATAGAACCTTCCGCCCCACTTTGAACTCTTGCCTTTGAATATGCATGTCATGCCACTTTTTGGTTCGTTCTTTGTAGAGCTTTGAGTTTTCATATGCTTCCATCCAGAATTCATCTAACTCGTTCAGTTGCAACAATCTCTTTTCACCGACGGCCTTCAAATCCATGTTTAACTGTTTTATAGCCCAATATACCCGGTGTGCTATCTCTAGTGGCAGGTGGCACGCTTTCCCAAAAACTAGGAGGTATGAAGACATTTTTATAGGTGTCTTGAATGCTGTCCTGTAAGCCCACAGTGCATCGCCCAATCTTTTCTTGATGAACTTACTGTAACTTCAACTATTATCTTCAACTGTCAATTGGATATTTCAACTTGCCCACTGGTTTGTGGATGATATGGGTGGCTACGCGGTATTTTATGCTATATTTATTTAACAACTGATCAAACTGGCGATTACAGAAATGTTTGCCCCTGTCACTGATTATGGCCCACGATGTACCATATCGGGTGAAAATATATTCTTCATGAACCCAATTACGGCCCTCGCGTCATTTGTTGGCAATGCAACTGCTTCCACCCATTTGGATGTATAGTCTACTACTACTAAAATGTACTGATTCGAGAAGGACGGGGGGAAAAGGTCCCATGAAACCAATCCCCCAGACGTCAAATATCTCTACTTCTAAAATGTTGTTCAATGACATTTCATTCCTTTTCGAGATATTTCCAGTACACTGACACCTATCACACCTCTTC